GGAACTTTTCCGGGGTTCGAAAAAGGCTGCGAGGATCGACGATGGCTACCTGCAGAGAATCGCAACAGCATGAGTGCACGGTTTAGGGTGGCCAAGGACATGTACCAACTGGATGTGAAGAAACGGAATGAAGCGGCTATATTGCTCAGCGGATTTGAAGACGGTTACACTGTTGCACTCCAGAATACCACGTAAGCGTTCCGCTACTGAAGGCTGGATTCTTTAGTGGTATCACTAAGAAACAGGTGGATGCATTCAAAAAGTGGTTTGAAAAATATAATTCCTGCTGGCGATTGTTTTCGCCGATGTTGCCTTTTACCATCACCTAGTCTAGGGTTCAGAATCCCGCAGCCACATTAAAATAAAGGCCAATAAAACAAGCCTATCCGATTTCGAAGACCGAAAAACTACAGGGTACCTAAGTAGGGAATAAGGGCTCTTTCTCCTCGGTTTCTCTACCTTCCTCCAGCCAAAGCTGCTGTGAAATGGACGCAATTTTGGAAATTATTGTTTCATACCACAACCGGTGCTTTTAGGAAAGAGGTGATTGCCCTAGCCCACGGATTGAATTATTCGTTCGGACCTCGATTCAGATGTGTGTTGTTGAGGCATTTTGTGGAGAAGTCACCTTGATTTTGGGAAATCCACATCCAGTAGTACACTATTCCACAGGAAGTAGGCGAAAAATTCTGGAGCCCTTTTTGATTAAGTCGTATGTAACATTTTTGTCAATGAGAGAAACGAGGTGTTTTGTTTTGGTTAAGAAAAAATTGTTACTATTTTCAATGAAATAAAAAACTCTCAGGAGTCCTTCTATTGGCTGAGTTAGGTTTTGATAGCGCTGCTGCTAAAAAATAAACGTTTTTTAACCAATCAATATTATACGACCTTTTGCATGCCGTGGTGTTTAATTCGTCCGTGCGCATTTTAGGGGTTTAAAAGCTTTTTTTAATTAGTAATATCTCACGGAAAGCGTAGTTATCGTTTTATGGACCACCCATAACTGTTTTGCATTGAAGATTTGCAAAATTTGCACTTTTATTAGGAAAAATAACAGGTCGTATGAACAGATTTTAAGCGTCTGTCTCTTCTTTTTTCCTTTATTTAACGTCGGTCTCTGTTCCGCAATCTAGTGCCAATCACCGACGGACATCGATTACCATCCATTGACGACAATAGAATGTGCAGGCCTTCCACACCTGCGTAGGATATCGCACCCATTCAACATACATGGGCCGGGACCAACGGCTTTACTTCCCTTCCGAAGGAAGACGTGACCAGAGATTTTTATGCCTCAGAAAAATCCACCGACCTCGGTTGGGATTGAACCCAGACCCATCGGGGTTTTAGAAAGCAGTCACGCTTACCACTACACCACCGGCGCCGGCAAGCTTCTGTCTCATTTGTTACATATTACCATTGACACTTCCATAGAAGAAAGGTGTCGTATGTAACATTGTGCTATGTTTTGATCGGTTGGCATATATGACAACAAGTTTTTTGATGAGCAAATGAAACAGAAATGAGGTTGTGAATTTAAATTTTGCCTCTAGGAAGAGTAAGCAAAGTAGGGTCTGGTAGTATTAAGGTCCTTATTCTCGTAACTTCGAAACTTTAAGTGTACACATATCAGCTTCTACGATACGTACCACAATAAAACTGTTACTCCACGGTTGCTGCACTGCAGCATACATGAAGTAGTAATTTCAGGTGAAAAGGGGCATTAATTTCCTAGATGTGTGTAGCTGAAAATTCGAAGTGGAAGTGGCCATTTGTGGACCCTACAAGGAATCACCTTAAAATGCAATTTTGTTTACGTTTGTAACATACGATCCAATGAAAAAGGATTCTCGATTTGAGGTTTTGTGTCAACATGCAAAAATTTCTTTTACAAACAACAATCCTTGGTAACATCTCAGATCATGACCATTTTCAACCATGGGTGCCAAACAGTGCCAATGAGTGTGCCATGGTGTGCCCTACTCTATGGTAAACTGTGTGGACTGACCAGCCCCTTGTTATACACAGAATTTCAGTTTTGAACGTAAAAAAAATTAAATTTATGAAACGTCTTGGTCACTTTAAATGCAGACTCAAGATTTCAGACGCAAAGCGTTACAATTCTTATGTAAAAAATGCTATAAAACCGGTTGGAGCATGTATCAGGTAGAGTAGGTCACGGGAAGTAGCCTATTTTGCCCCATACATCCCTAAATTCATTATTTTATGAGGAATCGACTGCTCTGATGGAATTTATTTCACGCACCGATGAAAATTTTACAGAGTGGGGCAATTTTTACTAAAAATGAACCCTAAATGTTCATCTATAATAAATAATATCCCAAGTTGACCAATACACGGAACGAACTCACGAAAAAAAAATGACGTTTGAGCGGTGCCATGTTTACCAAAACTGAACACATGTCGTAATGCTCGCTTGACTTTAGAAAAGGGCCTATCAACTTTTATAAACAGCTTGTTAGGCCCTTTTCACACGAACCGAAAAAAGACCCACGCAAACCAAGAGCACTTTCGGAAAGGGGTGAATTTACCCTACCCGCTGGTGTTGTTGGTTTGCGTGGGCGTACTTAGGTTCGCACGAAAAGGGCTTATCAAGTTGATAGGCTCTTTTCTAAAGTGGCGCGAGCCTTACGTGTTCATTTCTAGTGAACGCGGCACCGCTCAAACGTCAAATTTTATCGGGAGTTCATTCCGTGCATAGGATGCTGCACGCTGACGTCACGAACGAACGCGATGAACCCGCATTCATCAGTTTGATTTCCAGTGGTGGTTTGTTTACCTTTGCTTGTTATAGTCGATTCAAGTGGATTAGAGGTTTTAAATAAAAAGAATTAAATGATATGATATCCGACTATGTTCGTTTGAAAAATATTCCTCTCCAAAAAAAAAAAAAAAAAATTAATATTTTTTTTTTTTCTTAGTCCATGTAAACAAACCACGCACATTTTTGCCTGTGGACTTGGAGACATACTTCAAGTCCCCGCGTACATCGTACGGTTTAGGCAAAAATGTGCGGCTATCTTGAAAAACTGTCGCATTAATGGCCCTTCGCTCATTTTCAACTTCTATTCAATTTTCATACTGCCGTACTCTAACGGAACTATCCACCTACCCTCTTCTAAAGATCATTCTTTAGCTAATAAATCATCACACTAAAGCTTCATGTTAGCATTTCCAACCAACTCTGAAGATGTATAACATGTTGACTGAAACCGTTTGGCAGCCGAGATATTCAATTTAGTCGCGGTTTTGTCAATTTTTGCCCAGTATGCACTGCCAGATATAAAAAAGTGAGGTTAACCCGACGGTGCAGCTCCCTATTGGTCAGTAGCACAATGTTCACCAATAATGAATAATGATCGTTTAATGTTCATGATTAGTAAACATTGCCTGCCTGCAGCTTGTGTCACTTTTCATCGAGTGAGCGAACTCATATCCATCCGTGCACTCGTCTTTTCTGTCCCAAAAAGTTGGAGCAACTTGTTTATGACTGAAATAAGTCGTATAGTAGTTTCCACGACCAATTTGTATCAAGGGTGCTACTAGGGATGTCATTTTCGTTTATTTTTAGTGCAAACCTAGTTTCAGGGATCCACTCTGCCGATTTTTTTACACCCAACCTGGATTCACCAATACACACAAACCCAGCTGTTAAAACCAAATGTTTGCATTGTTCGCTAATGAAATTAAAAGGTTTGCAAATCGAAGAAGAGCGGGAAAAATTGAGGAAAGTGTAGACATTTATATAAATTGCGGAAACATTTGTCATGGATTATGGTTTTGCCGATTTTCACTCTAACTTTGAGCTGAAAATTCGAACGAATGCACTAAAGGCCCAAGCACTATGTTGGTGGAAGCGGAACGGAAACGGCAAGTTTGACATAGAGTCGGTGTATAATGAGTCACGCCAAGAGAAAAACAGTTGAACTCGCATCACGGTTTTCGAAAGATTCTCATTCTTTTCACTTGGCAACAGAGGACTTCTACAACAAACTTCAAATGACTTCTAGCGAGAGAAAAAATATTGCGGCTGTAGTAAATCATTATATCAGTGATTTTGTCAAATTATCTTAACAAAAAATTGAAGAAATTCACATTACTAATCAACACCGAGCGTATCCCATGACAATTTAACGCTCACTGCGTGTTTATGCTCATTTCTTTGATTATATTTTATATTTTATTGCAATACCTTTCGTGGACCTTTCATAGCATCGTAATGTTTATTTACTTTGCACGATAGGTAGCCGGTTTGACAGTTCAATAGGTAGACTTGGCTTCACTCTTGGCGTGACTCATTATACACCGACTCTAGTTTGACAGTTGTCACAAATGACATCAAGATGCCTAATCGAAGTCAATTGGGCTCTAACTAGTTTTGAATCCGACAAGTAGGCTTACTCAGATCGAGTTAAACACCATCATACTGATTCGTCCGTTTAATTAGAGTCAGGGTAGACTCTGATATTAGATCTACGCCCTACTTGCTCGTATTATCTTTCGAAAAAAAACAATACTTTTAAAGCTCTGCAGTAACGGGAACAAATCAATATTTAGTATTCTTAAAAAAATAAATAATCATGGAATTTGACCACATTCAGGCGAATTTATGATTTTTAGAATTGAAACTAAGTGTTGCATACAAAATTTGGCGCTAAATTCCAGTTCACCACAATTCCAGAAGGAAATTAACTTGTCTATCTTTGATTAAGCTTTCATTAATATGTCATTCCAAACCATATTTTTCGTAGAATTTGAATTTGAAAAAAAAACTATCATCAATATAAACCAATAATTTCCATTAGGTAATCACGTGAAACGGTAGATTTCTAATTGATAAGAAAATTTACTGATCACACAGTTCCAGGAATAAGGAAATTAATTCTTATAAGCTTTAAATATTCAATTGAATTAATTAATCGCGCAAATTAGTTTTATACATAAAATAAGTATGAAGCTACCGCATTGAACCATTTTTTTTCAAAAAATTATCTAATGTCGTTAAAATCAATATTTTTGCTGATATCTGCATACAAAATAAATCGCCGTAAACTTTTTCTACCTGCGACATCTGTTGCAAATATCAACAGTACTATTAATCTATTATAGCATTATCTTTTCAACGTGGCATCCAAGTAGCTACAGTATGCGACAAAAAAACATGCAAAAATCTATGAACAATTCTGCTTTGTTTTTTTGTGCCGTATACCGAACATGCAATTCTCACTAACCATGCACTGTCAACCAATGTTCTACTAAAATGAGTGTCTTCCTTTTTGTGAGTACGCGATTGCAAGAGAGGGGTGATTGATCGGAACTAACCTAAACCTGCTTATTTTTTTTCCCTATAAATGGTAAACATTCTATCGGTATAACTGTTTCCGTAACTTTTTCCCACTGTAGCGCGTCGGTTTCCTAACAACTACATGTCTTACACGGTAGCAAATAGTGGTATCGAAAAAGTGTGTAGTTTTAGGTGTGTGAGTGTGTGTCGGTGTATGTCTCCTTCCCTAAATACATAGTTTTTAGTTAGAGATTATAATGCGAATGCAGAATGGTTTGTGTATGTGTGTGTAGTGTGTCAGTTTTAAGTTGGATTAAATAAACTTTCTTCACTCACGGTACCTGATGTTCTACATGAACATTAATTATTAACTTTTTTTTTGATTAAAGATTATGCGTTTTTCTTTTTGTTTCAATGGATTCTTTAAGTTTACTTTCGAACAATAAGAGATTTCCTCAAATGTGTGGGTGTGTATGTGTGTTTCATCCTATCATTTGTCATCTATCAAAGTTTCTCTATGTAGTTGATTCACTTGAATGCGGGGTAGTCATTTTTGTTGTTTTTTTTTAAATATCTTAGATTAGAATAAAATGGATGTATTTTAGTAAACTTGCTTCTGCTTCTATCTCTTTTAGTTCTTAGAAATATTGATGAACTTTTTTGTTTGTATTCTTTTAATGTATGCGTTTTGTCCTAGTGATGTTTTTTTGCTGTTTTGCATCTTTTAATCTCTCACAAGTCTTCAAAGTCATAAGATGGACGCTCGTCTTCTAGTAAATAAATCATTGTTGTTTCTGTTTGTTTAATATACTGCATTTTTTTCTGATAATTCTTAGTCTGCGCGCAACCCAAATCGTTGGATCTAAGCTTGATGTTCGAAATTCATCAATATTTCGCTCGAATTGCTCTTATTATGTGAAGAGATAAACAGTATCATTTCGTTTGACAATGATATTCTCTACTTTTTCCTACGATAATATACTTTTTCAAGAACAACAAAACCAACAATCAAATAGAAAATTAAAAAGAGTTCTATCATTAGTGAAATAACTTTTCTATTTCTCTGTCTGTTTTTTTTTCTCTTAGGTCCTAAACATTAGTCTATCAAGTCAAGTATTTACACAAGAGTGCACCCACCCAAATTGCTTCGTTCAAATGCCTTCAACAACCCCGGCTCTCTATCTCCGTCTGTATTGATTGGTTTATGCTTCTCCCCTTCCTTCCTAGCTTCGACTCTACCAAGTTTTACTCTCGCCTCGTAACGGATCTAAGTCAAGGCCGCCATGCGCGATTTTTTATCCATTACACACCAATGGCCTTGGCTTGACGTTCAAGTTTCATTAAATATTTTCCGCTTTTTCTGTGGGGTCGCTACTCTCCTTTAAACTAGATTTCTCATGTTCATTTGGTTTAGCAATAAAAAATGTATCTCTTTCTCTCTGTCTATAAATATTCCTTCACTTTTGCGTAGGTTTTTTTTTTTGTTTTTTGACTACCATTATTAAAAATATCCGCTTTGAATTCTGCTTTTACATAAATTTTCACCTTCAAACTACGTTATACTCTATCTATCGATTTCAGCTTCTCCTTGAAGTAGACTAGGAAATACACAATATAGTTAGTTGCTTTTTTAAAAATGAAAAAGTTCAATAATCACAATTTGCTCTTGTTTAATTCAAGTTAATTTTTTTTTTCTTATCAACATCATCTCTTCCGATGTTAAAAAGTCAGGTATCTGATTTATTTTAGTCAATTGCCGCATTTGCTGACTCTACCCTTAATTTTTCTTTTTTCAATTATCCAACCTTATCCAACGATCTATAATCGCCGAAATCTATGCAACTTGTATGCTTTGCTACGCAACTTTTGATTGGACACAAGCTTGCACGCAAGCTTCGCATCGTTCTGCGCAAGCTCGAAATATTCCAAACATAACGAACAACGGGCAAAATCAAAACCAAGCGATGGTCAAAAATTCATGAAATACTTACATACCTAAATTTCGATAATAAACAAATCAACTTTAAATTCATTGAATCCAATTCCGTTTCGAACAGAATAATAATAATAATAATAACGAACCAAACAAATCGTCTCTCACTCGAATCGCCTGAAATGGCTCACATTTTGATTATGCTACTGCTGCTGCTGCTGCTGCTATATCTTTAGTTCACTTTGGATCGCTGGTACCCGGTGGCGGTGCCTCGGGTGCTGCTACCCCGTGATACTGCAAGCTTTGGAGGTACTCCGCCCTGCGTTGGTGGACCTGCCTCTCTTTTTCGGCTCGTTCTCTCTGTAGTCTGGGGATGGGAAAAAGAACATCATTAAGGTACAGGTCTGTAACGTCTTGCAAGTCGCTGGAAGGGAACGGAAAACTGAAATGAGGTTTAAGATGTATTCTTACCAAGTTTGTCATTTGTTCATCCCATGTACTTTTGTTTTGTTATTGTAAGCGTTAAGAAACGGAATGAACATTTATTAGTTAGATTCAGATGAGGGGCTACAGAATGGAAAAATATCACCTATGATATTTATATTATACAGAACAGAAATTTGAAACTTTGCATGTTTGCTACCAGCAGGGTTGCTTCCACTCACATGCTATAAAAAATATTTTTCGGAATTATGCAATCATTAGATGATATAATGATGTGTTTTACTTGTAAGTAACAAGAAGAGGGTTAAAAGTATGTGTTTGATTCATAAAACCTGCCAATTTCGCTTTCAGAGCGTCACAATCAGCTATCTTATGATTCGTGAGCGTTCACTCAGAGTGAGCGCTCACGAGTCGTAAAATCGCGGATTGTGACCCTCTGAAAGCAATATTGACAGATTTTATGTCTCATACACATACTTCACGACCTCTTTTTGTAGCTAGTTATCATTATACCATCTCATGATTTCATTATTCCGAAAACATTATTTTATGGCAAGTGAGTGGGAGTAACCCTGGCTACCAGAGAGATCTAGAACTATTTGTAATCAGAGTTGCTTCCACTCACTTGCTATAAAACAATGGTTTTCTAAATTATGAGATCAGTAGATGACATAATGATATGCTGTACTTGTAAGTAACAAGAAAAGGGTGTAAAGGATGTGTTTGACTCATAAAACCTGTCAATTTCGCTTTCAGAACGTCACAATCGCCGATCTTATGATTCGCGAGCGTTCACTCTGAAGCCTAAGCATTCCACTAACAACCCAATTTCATTACTTCATTATGATGGCTACCAAGCCTTTGGGATTTTCCTTATTAGAGAGTTGAATAGATTTTTCTCCTTTAGTTGACTTAAATCTTTGGTTTTAATTAGTTAGGTAGGTTCCGATTCAACACATTGTAGTTTCATTTTTATACCTGTGATCTTGACTTTTATACCTAGGGGATGAGTACTTAAGGGGGTTAGATTTTGAAAAGTTCTTTAGTGGGCATGACACTGATGAAGACTGCACATTGTAGTCGAAATACGTATCTGTCATGGATACCAAAATTTATTAAGTGGAATTAAATGGAAGACAACCTTTCTTGCTGTCTTATTTAAGCATTCCGCTAACAACCCGATTTCATTACTTCATTGAGAATTTCAAACACATTCTGAACATTATTTAATGGGCTTAGAATTCCAGGAAAACTCTAAAAATCAACCTGCGAAGATTTGCAACGCCGTATCTTGATACAGCCGTTTGATTCCAAAAAGATATAGTGGTTCTCAGAATTGTGTGCAATTTCTTATCCGTTGTGAAGTAATGAACCCATTGGTAATAGAAAACTTTGAAGAGCTGCTCAGCAAAAATCCTCAAACAAGATTCATGGGTCTCTATTATAAGTACATGACGTTGAAGATTGACCCTTCTTCGTACAATTCTAATCGTGTTTGCCTCCAAGACTTTTATAGTTTCTCTGTAAATTTTGATCTGACCATGTTGCGAGAAATCCGTGGAATACCAGATCACCCTTTTGCAAACAAGTACAATAACAATAGGAGTTTTTTTCACAGATGGGTCAACTATAAACCACAGACAAACAGACGTAACTCTTTGAAAAAGTTTTTCTTGTCATATCAGCGACATCTTTTAGGCTTCTCGCGGAAAACAAGCTTGCTCCCTAACTCGCAAACAATATTGCATGAAAGTTCTAAAGAATGTATAGAAACGTCAAAGTGATCCGATGCCAGCGCTGCGGCGAGTAGTTCGCGAAACTGATAATATTCAAATCAATTGTTAAATGCGTGAACGAAGATACACAAAGAAGAGTTACGTCTGTTTGTCTGTGTATAAACGTTTCCACTGGATTTGGAGTATTCAACGAATTTCATAGCGCCTCATGTCAACTGCAAAAACCCTGTTCCCTATACGTTGCGGAACTAGCAGCCATATTCTACGCATTAAAGCAAATTGCCTCACTACCGTCTGATAACTATTTCATTTTTACGGATAGCCTTAGCTCGTTGAAGACTTTCCTGACCGAAATCCGAGCCAAATTGAGTACCATCACTTTACTCCGGGTCCCATCTCATTTCTCTATTCCGGGTAACGAGAAAGCGTACCCATTGACTAAAGTGGGCGCTATGGAAGGCGATATTTTTGATCGACAAATCGCCTTTGCGGAATTTTTGGCAATTACCCGTCAAATGGAATGAGTGTCATCTGGGAATATGGTTACACTCTATTCTCCCTTCAAAGGGTTGGACATGAGCCGTGACTTTATACGTGTCATTTCGAGGCTCATGTCCAATCACTGCTATAAGTACAATTTAAAACTTGCCACTCGAAGCGCTGATATTTGCGCATGCGAGATATGCATTGCTGCAAGAGTGACAATTTCAACTAAATCCAAGGGGAAACGTGGCAGACCCAGCTCCTCGGGTAATGCGAAAAAAAAGTGCCAGTTGAGTTTGTGTCCATATTGCTATTCGGAAATGGCAAAAGGTAAACGACATACATGTACGAAGACTGTAGCGAAGCGCAATTTGCTCGGGATTGTCCAGAACGCTCAAGATGCTGGAGACCCTGTCGTTGCGAAGTATATGAGGGTCAAACCCACGGATGGAGATGGTCAGGTAAAGATTTCTAATCTACACGGAGTACCATCCAGCTGGAAATCCACTGTTGATGTAGAAGTTCGTTCCATTTTGTAAATTTTTATCTTTTCAAACCAGTAACGTTGGGGGATCACCTTTTTGTGGTGCGTTACTGGTGTAAGATCTACCATCGAACCCTAGTCATGACAGCTTAAAACTGGGAAAAAAGACTCGGGTTGTGACCACTGCCGTTATGCATTTCTATATTGTATATTTTAAATCAAAAAAAAAAATTATTTATGTTCATTGATTTCACATAATCCTTTTCCCTTTGCCCTTCTCCTTTTTCTTTTCCTCTTCACTTTTCAGAAAGCGAGTAATGGCGCTATATCCAAAAGTCATAAAAGGCTAGGACAAGAGTTAGTGCTCATGCCCCAACCATCAGAAGAAAATGGAGCATCACTTAACCTTTCTAGCGACCAACCAATCATATAAATACCAAAATCGGAACGTACGGTACACAGCAAAAAATAAATTTTGATATCACATCAACTGGATGCACTTCAATCGTGTCAAAAATATGGTGTAATATAACTTTTCAAAAAGGACAAAATTATCATTACTGCAGTGCATGAACTGACATTACGCTGCTTTTACTGCATTGGTTTATTTTTGTAGCATAAAAAACATGATTTTCCATCCTTTTCCACCATCCATACGTCATGCGGGCAGAATTTAAATAAGGCCCGCGATGTTTCCTACGATCAAACGTATAGGATTGATATAGGAATGCTAGTCCCCTGGTTTCCTGTTCTATGCTTCATATTTCTCTGGACCAGAATTATCTGTGTTTATAGCATGCACCGAAATTTTGTTAAACGTCGCTTCACTCACATATTCTAGCTCTAAAGCTTAAAAGCTACTGAATTCTTCTAAATCCTGGTCTCACAAATCATAATCTTTCTATCCGGAGATGAACCATCTTACGGCTGAAAATCTCTTAAATAAAGGAAATCGATCAATCAATCAATTGATCATACCATTTCCTCTCACTTCGTTTGTTTTCTTTTTTTGTCTATTAAAATCCAATTTCCTAAAATCAGTTGCTTTCTGGTCTATCAGATAGTCCCCAATAATTTGCACTATGATCTGCAACAACTGATCTGGCGTATTCACTAATTTCACTACGAATCAACAATAATGCACTTCAGCATTTTACTGTGCCTTATTTTTATCAAGCGATTTATTTCATTGCGCTCGCTCTTGCACTTCAACCCTTCGACTCGCCTTGCGGTCATCTGTACTTTCAGCTTTCCAATCGACCGTTCAGTGCAAAGCTGGTCTAGCCTTGAGTGTAGTATCAAATATGACTTCCATATGTGCTACGAAGTTATGGTCTCACACTCCCCCTCGTTTTTAAATCTACGACTGAGCTAACAATATTCATGCGACTCACACTCCCACGCTATCTCTCTGATTCTTCAGTAGTGATGTCCTATTACTTCTCGATTAATAAATAATCATTTAATTGAGAAAATCGGACATCACTATACTCTTCAGCCACATTTGCTGGTCAATTCCTTCTAGATTAGTCATGTGCTACAGTCTGAAACAACTGGTCTCACTCACTCACTTATCAAACAGCGCTAAGGTAGATCACCTGTCTCGCTCTTGCTCTTCAGCCTGTAGGCTGGCGTAGCAATGTAGTAGTGGTAGTGCGCTTCAGTGTTACACTGGACTCGCTTTTTCCTGTAGCGCTTCGGTTTACAACCGGACTCGCTTGTGCTCTGCAGCTCATCAGCTGGCCTAGCAATGTTGTTCCTAATGCGCTTCAGTATTTCACTGGACTCGCTTTTTTTTTCTCTATCGCTTCGGTTGATAACCGGACTCGCTTGTGCTCTACAGCTCATCAACTGGCCTAAGCAATGTGATAGTGCGCTTCAGTGTATCACTGGACTCGCTTTTTCCTCTAGCGCTTCGGTTGAAAACCGGACTCGCGTAGCACTGCAGCTTCTTAGCTGGACTTGCTTCATCATAATTTGTTTCCACAGGTGCATCTTTAAACACAATTCATGAAATTACCTCTACGTACCGTATCCAAGTAAAATTATCCTCCATCTCTCCAGTCACCGATCTCTATAAAAAAAAATCGTACCGGCTGCGCCAAATTGTAGAATCACCCGATGCCTCTTGGTTCGTTCTGCTTCAACCAGCTACTGTCGTCCACCTCCAGTGATATTCGTATCGCAACTAACTCGATATCGCTTGTGATCATCCTCTCGTTCCTATAGTTCGCCAATACTACTAGACGAATACAGGGATGTATTCTAGCCCAACCATACAGAGGCGTACCTCTGCATAACGTATAATATTACTGAACTCTACACCCACGACAGTACAACATATTTAGTATAAAAATAAGCCTACGCAGCCGGCTTAAATTTGATTTGCGACCCAACTGCGAACGTACGCAAACTGACGTTCAATGTATTCTGGTTTGTTTTTGTTTTTTATAAGCACGGGATCCAATCAGTCTGCCCCTGTGTAGTGGTAAGCGTGATTACCTCTCACCCCAGCAGGCCTGGGTTCAATCCCAGTCGGCGCCGCCGGGATGTTCTGAGGCATAACATCTCTGATCACGTCTTCCTTCGGAAGGGAAGTAAAGCCGTTGGTCCCCGGTTCATGAGTTGATGGGTCCATAGGTAGGGTCCAGGTATGATGGCTGCCTCCCTGGCGTCGGTAGCATTGGTGCTCAGCACGGAAAACAAATCAAGGAAAAAAAATCAGTCTGCCCCATAGATAGACTCAACGACTTCACCTATCGCATTCCGAACCATACAGTCTTATTAGGCGACCAGATCTTCCAGGCTTTTGACCAACCGTCACTGGAGGCAATCCGTTTCAGCCATCCTGTCTGCCGTATCGACAAGACAAGAGATGGTGTGGATGAACTTGATTGAAGTGAAGTCGGAATAGAAGCAGTTCTGTATAAAATCACGAATCGCTGGAATTTTTAATGTGAATTGAATTAGACGGACTGAATTTTGCTGGATTTTTAGAGATTCAAGGTTCCGAGAATAAATACAGATTTTTTTTTCGAACGATCCTCGAAACCGATTTGTCGTTCTTAAATTCTTGATTGAATCGTTGTTTTACATTTTTTTTTTCATTCTAACAAATCAAGCTGAACATTTAACATTGAACGATTCTCTTCGTCGACTTTCTCTTTCGTTAATAACTTAACATAACATACCCGTTTCTTGTTGTGTTTGACGTATTAGATGCTAGATAAAAGCTTCTCTTATCGATATGTGTGCTGAAAATACCTCGATGAAAAATGTTTTATTGTTGAAATTTGTAACTGATTATGATTCAAGTAGAAAAGACATAGAGGTGTTGTGCCTACGGGAGAAGAGGTAGTTAAATTATTTTCCCTCCCGCGGGTTTTCCCCTCTATCAATAAAAAAAAATATATTCAACACATCATAATTCCTTCCTATTATTCAGCTACGAATGTAACAACGATGGTGAGTTCACCATGTTATACCTTCATTTTATTCCAGCAGACAGCAATTTCAAATTTATAAAAAAAAATCTACATATGCCAGCAACACTGACTGGGTGTATCCTATGGCTTACCTTCCCTACTAACATAATTCCTAAATTCCCGAGACATTTATGAGGGGACGTAGAGTTCTCTGCATCTCTCTTAAGTAAATGTTGGACTAACATACCTTTCCTATCCCTACCAGTTGTAAGGACGTGGCCAGGACAATCCTTAACTGTTGGAGCGAGATGTTTCTGTATCTGGGAGATAGTATTTATTTCCTACTTACTATCTGTCCAGTTACAGAAATCCGTCTTGCTCTTAATAGTTTTGAATTCGTACCACCTACGATATTGTGCAACTTGTTCGATACTAATGCTAATGCTAATGTGTGCTGAAAATACCTCGGAATTTCTTTCAATGGCCGTGGGGATGCAAAGATAAAGTCAACGAAGAGAATCTGTCAATGTTACTTAGGACCTAATTCTACTTGTCAAAGTGTGCCCTATCGAGTCGAACAGTGTGCCATGCTGTGTTTCAGCACAGAGTGTGCAGAGTTGATTATCCCTTGGAGATTTTCGAATGTTATCATTTAATTTCGAAGTGTCAAATTTAAGTGAAAATTCACCAAATCAGTGCCAACATTTCAAAGGGGCGTAATTGCGTTTGTAAACAAGGGCTTTAGCCGTCAATTTCTCGCGAATAAAATCTCACCCCTCCAAAATAACAATGCCAGCTGGTAGAAGAAAAATTCCTCTACCTGTTGATGTCATTATTTTTCATGAGTGAGCTTTTATTCGCGAGAAATCGATGGCTAAAGCCATTGTTTACAAATGCAATTACGCCCCTTTGAAATAATGGCACTGAAATGGAATACATCCTGAGTGGGTTTGATCGGCCGTGTACATAAATTCACTTCACATCGCACACAAGATTCGCGAAGTGCGCACCTTAGGACACACGGTCGCTGAGGCTAACTCAAAATTGACTAGAATTTCACTCATTTTGATAAAACCGGGATTGCTCATGCACTGAGTAGACGGCTCTCACACATTACACACATGGCACTTAAAAATCGTGGAAACTGAGTAACTTTTAGACAAACTTGAGTATCGTTTTCATTAATAGCCTCTGTGTTAGGCAAAATGAGTGAAATTTTACTTAACTTTTAGGAAGCCTCAGCGACCGTGCATGCGATGCTAGTATACAATGTTTCATCCAACACTTGTGTGCAAGTTTAACTCGTACAGTATGAAATATTCCACACGCGCGCGTGAACCACGTGGTGATTTCAAATTGATTGGAAGTTGTTGAACATTTGGTAAATCACAATATGTACTCACTTATTTTTCGATTGTCTCATAAATTGCTGAATTTTCCTGGCCGCTTGATTCTGAGTTCGTTGCGAGTAAGTTCGTCTGAAAGAGCAAGCAAATGTCGTCAACTGAATCGCCCTGCTCTGCCCGAATCAATGGGAGCCAACTCACTTCAGAGGACCGGACGGGCTCGGTTCCTTGGACGAACCCTGATGATTGTTCTGCTGTTGCTGGTGCTGCTGTGGGGACTGTTGCTGCTTTTGTTCGTTCTTGAAATTCTTATAGTAATTCTGTATACACTGTGACGAGGAGGCTGCCTCCTCGGCGCTGTCCCCTCCCATGTGACCGGTTGGATGGTTGGATTGAGATTTCTTGAATCGCTTGTTCTCGCAGTACGACCGGTAGCCATTCTGGATGATGACCGCCGCCTGGGTCATCTGCCGGTAGTAGGCGTACTGTTTGTACCGACGGTAGTAGTTCTGAATCACGACGGCCGCCGACCGCTCCTTGTCCTGTTCCTCCATGCGGCTCTTGCGGCCCTTGTACGAGCGGTATGCCTTCTGAATGCACTTGGCCGCTTCGTACAGTTCACGTTGTTCGCGATCTAAAATTATTCGGGTTTAATATGGGAATTTATCCGGTCGAATGCGGGCTCTCACCAGTTAGTTTGAGATTGGAGAAATCCTTTTCGAATGGATTCGAGTTGGTTGTCTGCAGGAATTCGGTGAAATCCTGTGTAGTGGGTGGTGGGCTCGGAGAGCCTACCGGGGGATCCTGTGGAATGGAGTAGCTGGCAGGTGACTGCAGAGGCCCGGACGATGCAGGACTTAGGCTGGAGCAGGGTGTTCCAACGTCATGGTACCTGTAGTTGGTCGTTTAGTGTTAGGAATAATTGTTTTACGGTTGATTTTTTTTAGTGTTGACAAACCTATAGTTGTGATCGCTGAATTCAAAATTGAATTCTTCGAACTGAGACGGAGGCAGAGAATCGAGCAGTGGTTCCATAAAGGAATCCGTCAGGATGCTCATCCCGGATGTGTCTTCGCTTAGGGTTTCCGGCATTGGACTGCCCAGGGACATGATTTCCTCCGATTCGTTCTGCGGGGTTGGAAAATAAGTTGTCATCGGTTTTTAAGATTATCAAATGGTGTTAGAAACTACCTTTATTCGTTCCGGCATCGCTGCGATAATCTGTTCTGCAAGCGTTAGCACCTTGGCATCGGATTCCCCTACAAAGGAATAGAGAGATTTGGAATTGTTAAAAATTACTGTTCATTACTATGTTAAACCTAAAACACCAATAACAGTTAGAATATGGACAATGATACTGAAATAGTGACTTACATTTATCTGTCCGGTAAAATTCCAACTATCAACTACTAGCTAGCGGAAGCAGAATTGAAAAGCACTGACATGCAAGCAAGCGTACTTACCGTTTGTTGGCGTATTACACATATTTTACTCTCTCTATAAAGAAGTACACTACAGAAAGCTCTGAAGCGACTCATTAAAAGGTAGTTTTTTTTCTTGTTTTAGTAGTTTCTACCAAATATATCCCGAATGAAAAATTACGAATTTGATATTTTTCATCTGCTTCCTTTTGACTATATCGATTCTGTTGTTCAAACCTATTTACACTGGGACACCGATATTTACAGTACTACAACAATAAACAAAACAATGAAAAGTAAAAGAAAAACACATAAGATACAAACAAAATGAATCAACTTAGAGACACCAACACAGAAGAAACTAACACTAACACATAGAGACGCTAGTGGATATGGGACAGGATTCCAAAGAGACAGAAGGTACATTTAGAAAGAAGAAACTCAAAAAAGAAAACAAAACAGAAGAAAACAAAATCAAACACAAAACTTAATCACGGTTGTCACTGGAAACTAACCTACTCCGGTCCCACCACTACCCCCGCCGACGGAGGCCACCTCGCCGCCGCCATCGTCCTGGTGATTGATATGATGGAGCAGCTGCGACCCGTGATGCAGCAGATGGTGCATCCCGTGGCCCTGCCCATGCCCGAAGGACGAAACGGATCCGATCAGGGCTTCCGCCACTGCCGCCGCAGCCGACGACGAAGCATTCGATGATGAGTGTCGTTCATCCTCCTGCAGCGAGTCGGTGTCCTCGCACATGGGGCTGCCGTCCGCCGCCGAGACTTCACCTTTATGTGGTGGTTAATTTTAATGTTGTTGTAATGTAACGTATTCGCAAATATGCAATAATTTTGTATCGAAAAAAGGCAAAAAAGCTTCTACTAAGTATTGTGGAAAAAATGTAAAAACGAAAAATTCATCATGTTCAAGTGTCAAAGAGTAAACTCTGTTTGTTTGGCTACTTGGCTTTCAAAGTGGTGCTCAAATAAGCATGTTCTGTATCAAGCTAGTTTTGTTTGATTAAGGCAGTCATAATATAGAATGTGATTCACCTTTTTCTTTTTCGGAATAAGAAGTACTTACACAGGGAAAAGTCCATTTTTCGCAGCGGCGAAAGCAGAGATGTGTTACTCAGATTGCTGGATCCCTGCGAGGAGGACTCCGTGGTACGATCGTTCAACGAAAGCGAAAAATTGTCCGAGTCTGAGCTATTGGAGGCTCCACCTCCTCCGGAGGAAGAAGATATCTTCCCGTTGGAGTTACCTCCTCCGTTGTTGGACGACCCTCCGAAAGGGGATAAATGACCACCGGCAGAGCCGGACGCCAGCGGGAGGGACATGCTACGATCGGTTCTGGAAATTGCAGAATCGGATGAGATGTTGAAACAAGGAATTCTTTGAGCCCATCTTACCTGTTCAACCGTTGAACATCTCGTAGAGACTTGCCAGTTTTGCTCAGTGAAGATCTGGTCTCCATGTTGATTCCACTGTCGATCGATGATCGCTTGGACAGTCGAGCACCGGGTGGACTTTGACCACTGTGAATGAAAACGTGTTCGTAAAGCAGTTCGGAAACTTTAAGACCTCCGAAACCTACCTGGAAAACACCGCTCCTGGCCGCAGGAACACCCCATCGTGACTACGGTTACTATCCGAGTTCGGAGACAGGGCATTCGATAGCATCGGATTGGAGTTGTTGTTCTCCAGTGCGTAGTGCAGCGTTGCCGTTGATGAAGACCCGACCTGTCCGGATCCCTTCATATCGCTGTACGGCGACATGGCCGCCGGTGAAAGTGACGGATTGTACGAAGACGAGAGAGCAAAGTTGTCGTTACTGCAGCTGTCACTGTTGCTACTGTTCAGGGCGTCATTGTAGTTGAACAGATCGTTGATGAAGTTATGCTCCGGACTGACGTCCGGATGATTGTTACCGTCATTATCGTTATTGCTATGCTCGTTAGCCGTTTCAGCTGTAGCAGATCTGTTACTATCTCTGCGACTACCGCTACTGTTAGCTAGAGTTGTGGAAGGATTCGTTAAGGAAGCAGAAGAAGGAACAGACGAAGAATCAGCTGAAGCGCTGGAAGCCAAAGTAGATAAAGTAGATGTGGAAGAAGTGGAACAGGATGACGTGATGGATGCCAGCGTGGGCATCGAAGAGCTGGTTGTTGTTTGTGATTTCTTTTTCTGGAGTCGTTGGAGTTCGTGTTTCTCAAGTTCTGCCACTAGGCCGGTGAAACCTCGATTCTTGGCCACCTCCAATGGAGTTTGCTGAACGCTGTTCTTGACGTTCAGTGCATTCTGATTCCATTTGTACAGGACGATCGCCGTTTCGATGTGACCGCGGGAGCAGGCCCACATCTGGAAGAACACAAATTTCAGTATTGCACAAGATCTGGACAACTAGCTGCCCGACTTACCAAAGGTGTGAATCCCTCCTGATCTTGACTGAGCGCATCTATTTCGGCCTCGAGAATGACGTTGGAATTTTCCGTTTTCCAGGTCAGCATGGTGCGGACCAGCTTGGCGTAGCCCAAAGCCGATGCCAGATGAAGCAGGGTCATTCCCCGGTGCTTTCCAAGCCAGGATCCCGGGGTTACCGATCGCCACATCTTGGCCGTCAACGACTGGCAGTAGCTCACCAGACGGTCTTCGAAGTTGGTTTGCTTGAAGAGCATCGAGTCTTCGGGCTGAAAGGGATGAAGTTTACCGTTGATTAGTGGATGAGATTCAGCATATTTCCTGATTAAATCATTCAAATTGGACTACTTCTTAAGAACGTAGTTCACGGAAGTTACCCAAGCATAACATGTTCTATAAAAGTTGTATGACTGGTGTTGATTATATAGTAGTTTACTCAACATAATTGTGTTACTTAGGTATTGCTCATACTACCTGTATCGCCACTCCGGATATTCATGGACAATTCTCGCGCCACTTTTCAAATAGACCAATTGATTGATCCTCTTCATCGAGTCACTCTTTTGTTAACAACTTGACTGCATTTATATTTCGAGCTAATTTTTCTACATAGTCTGTTAAAAGAAAGCATTTGTTACCGGCGGGTAGCATTGCTGACTTAAAAATTGAATTACACGGAAGAGTAAGAATGTTTATATTAGGGAATTGATTTATTCCGATTTGCAACGGCAAGTTTGAATGCGCTGGCGGCTGAGATCAGAAGAGTGACCGAACAGCTAATCAGTGAGTGCGAGTGGTGGGTGGATGGAATCCACTGAACCCGAATGAAATTGGGGCGGAAACTCTCTCAGGGAAGAGCCAGTGAGCGCATGATGGGGAGCAGAGAACGACGATGGAGCCAAGGCAGTTGGGATCCAGCTACAGAAAGGAGATCACGGAGTGAACTTTGTTCGTGGAGTTAACGGACGAAGAGTGTTAGTCACCAGTTTTTGCCCACCTCGACGTCGTGGTCTCGCCTTCCCGCAAACGGTCTTGGAAAAAGCCTTGTTGGATGACCTTCCGTGCCTGCTCCGCCAAGCGACATCTATCGCTTCGGTCACGCTAACGAGCACCTACGCTGCCGGTGATACCGCTTCTGGCCCTAGGCGACCAGTCATCCACGTTAGCCTCCGTCGCCGCCGTCATTGTATTGGCTATTACTATTGTCAAGCCCTGTCCAGTGGCGCCCCCGCCGACCAGCCGCCACAATAGCACGCCGTGGTCGGAGCCACCGCTTTTGTGTGGGTCGCTACCGAGATACGGATGAGAAATATCACAGGTCACTGCGTCATCGAGTACCCCCTTTCCGGCGAAATCCTACTAGCTTCGCCGGGATCAAGAGATCGCCCTGGTCGTGGCCATTTCCTCGGCTCATCACGGTCATCTCCACTTTCGAAGCCACTACCAGCAGGGACGGCGTCCTCTGGACCATCGTCACCCTCAAAGCCTCGCCTGCACCGTCACCATCGCCGCCCACCACCCACAATGTATCGTCAAATCTAATAAACAGGTATTTAACCGTTTCTATAGTGTTGGTTAGGTACTTCCGTGTCCGAAAAGTCTCTCACGCCTATCGCCCTGAGACCCGGAACCTACAAGGGTCTTTAGTGCCCACCCTAGCAGCTGCCGTTGGTAAAGACCAGCAGTTTGGGGCTTTAGGGGGTTCCCTTTAGCAACTCAGCGGTTCCAGAGCTTATAAAGTAGTCTTATACAGTATTAAGCGTATTTGACGATAAGAAATGCTGAACATGTTTTCGGAGTCGAGTTATTAACGAAAGAGAGAGAGAGTCGATGAAGAGAATCTACATTGGTTTATTGGAAAAGTGACGTGAGAATTGACGATCTACTCCTCAATGTACGAAGCTGAAAATATCACTCAGTGCAGAAACGCAAGCATCGAATCTAAATTAGTGATGCACCGAAAAGTACTATTCGGCGTTTACACCAAAAAAATATCTGATATTCGGCCAATCCCCACCTAACAAGTGACCGACAAAGTGTTTGCGCGAAATGTTTAGACTGCAACCGGCCGAATACTATGGCGGCCGAATGTTCGTTGCAACACTAGTTTAAATGTTCAGATTGCATGGCTTCCAGGGACGTAAAGTGGCGCTCCGCTAAACCATGTTCCTAACAAACTCACGTATGCAGAGACAAACTTACCAGCTCTCCCGGTTCGACCTTAATCTGCAGCTTCTCGTCGATGGACTCCAGCCGCGTCAGCAGGTTGAACTTGTACAACATGTCGTTTCCGTTGCCTTCGCACTTCGTTTCGAACTTGGGCGGAGATTTATACTCGAAGTTGACCGCATTCGATATCACATAGCCATCGCTGGCGACCTGCAACGTTACGACTCCCACCTCGTGCGCTGCAAAGATGAACGGAGCAAGCAGTTTAGAACCATCTCACCACACCCATCAGATCCCACACCACCAGCCTCTGTACTTACCGGGACAGTAGCACCTCAGCACTCCACTCTGGACCAGTGTCGTCGGCACCGGAAACGAATCGAATAATACTGTATAGGACGAGGCGGTACTCCACGGCCCCGTAACTAGCACCTTAATTCCACCCTCCGGGTAGGCCCACTCCGGACTGAAGTCGGTAATCGACGACACGTTTGCGTGGTGATGATGCGACGACGACAGCTCGTTCCCTACCACGATCCCACTATCGGCCGACAGTTTGAAGTGACTCAAATGACTAGCCCCATCGTTGATCTCCCCTCCTGCGTCCGTACCCGTTTCACTACCGTTCAAAAATGCACTCTTCGCGTCTAGTTCTAGTTCCGGAAACTCAACCAGCATATCGAACGCATCCAAATTGACAAACACATCGTCGTCCACCGGATTGTGACTCTCGCCACAATTCTCGATGAAATCCATCGGATTGATCTCCCCATTCATTGCATCATCCGTCTGAGCTCCCGACGGTCCTGCATTGCCAACCGCTCCTCCCCCATGGACATGTCCCAGTGGCATATTGGCGCTCAGCGTCTTCTGGATATCCTCCTGCGACAAGTCCAGCGTTTCGTTGAAGAACGGCAAGTTGTCATGGTGACGATTTCCACCCGGACTGTGCCTCACCGAATAACCTCCGAACATACTTTCGTACTGCTTCGTCGAGCCGCCCCCGATGCCCGATTGGTGATGGCCCTGATGACCACCCATCAGCGATGGCGACGAAGACGAATCCATGATTTCCTGCTTCGGAATGAGACCGCTGCTGTGCTGCGATCCATCGGACGGTGAGTTTTCCATTTTGATACTGCTGTTGGCACTGGTGGTGTTGCTGCCGCCACCACCGCTACTGCTACTGCTGCTTCCGGTGCCATTTTTGGAACCATCGGCCAGAGATTTGTGTTGCTGAAGATGGTGTTGTTGTTGTTGTTGTTGTTGTTGCTGCTGCTGTTGCTGGGACGGGTGGCAGACGAAAGATTGCTGTTGGCCATTTAGGATCAGGAGGCTGCCCGGGTTGCCTTGGAGCTGAAAGGAAATGAAGGGGAATTTGAGTATGTCAAGCGACAAATTTGACTAACAGGTATCACAGTTAAAATTTTACAAGGGTTTTTCTTTATGAATTTTAAACTCTGTGTAAAACTAGTGATCATGATTTTAATGATACACATTGATAATGATATTTTGGCTATCAGTGTTGGGAAAATATAAAGAAAAGTAAGAGGTTGTATTCAAGACACGACCGAGATTTGACGTAGGATTACGTACTCGGTATCAATAATCGTAGAAAAATTTCCGATCGATTGGCTTGTTTAGAATTTAAATCCATCCGCTATTGACAGAATTATAAGTGGTCAAAACCTAACCCCTTTTCGTAACACGGTCGATTTTGGTTTTTTTGAAATTTCACCCCCAATATGTTGCCGAAAGACGTACTCCTACGTCAAAATCAAATCTCACGGATGCCTAAGATTCTTGATTTTCGTAGGCAAAACTTAACAAGGAAGCCATTGCGGATGATATTACAAAGCTACGAATATCAAGCTAAGAAAACTCACCAGCTACAATTCTAAACAAACCGTGGTGAGTTTGAGTTTCATGATTAATGCTTTACATGCAAACGCGGATGTATTGTCAAACATATTCTTTGAAGCCCCTTCTTGAATTTTACCAATACAAAATATGATCATAGCGTCTAAATATTTCATAATTCAGAAAAACATTGTTTAAGCTGAAATGAGAAACCTTGATGAGAATATTCTGGTAAAATCTTGTTCAATATTAAAAGTACCGTATGTATACCGATAAGGATAACACAACTGTGTGTTGCGTCATCATAAAATGCTACTTTCGATGATGGATAAAAAATCTGCATCTCGAGATTTGACAGCAAATAGTTCATCAGCAAGTGGCTTCCCGAAAGTCAAACTCCCGGAGATCAGGTTTCCGACGTTCAGCGGGAACATTCAAGAATGGGTCCCCTTCCGTGATAGTTTTCGTAGCCTCATTGACTCCAATACCCAGCTGATAGAGATAGATAAGTTCAACTATCTGCGTTCATCTCTATCTGAAGAAGCGCTGCAGGAGATCCATTCAGTAGAGCTCTCCGCTGCAAACTACACTGTAGCGTGGGAATCATTGTAAACCCGCTACGAGAATAAGAAACTAATCGTGAAAGCACACATCGACGCACTTTTTGCAGTGGAAGGACTCAGAAAGGAGAGCTACGACGGGCTAAACCATCTCATAAGCGAGTACGAAAAAAACCTTCAAATGCTGGAAAAGATAGGAAAGAAGACATCAGAGTGGAGTACTATCTTGGCGCACATGGTATGCAGTCGCCTGGATTCTGCTGCCTTGAGGAACTGGGAGACTCACCATAATTGCAAGGATGTTCTGATCAATACTTCAACCGCGAAGATCAATCAGTAAATCGTTCATCGAAGCCAGCAATCTGCCATACCGTCGGCACATCCGCTAAAGGATGCCCTTTCTGTAACGAGACGAAGCATTCTGCATTTCATTGTGCGGCATTCTTGTGAATGAAGGTTGCTGAGAGTAATGAAGCTGTTAAGAAAAGGAAATTGTGCCGGAATTGCCTTAACCCTGGGCATTACGCCAGGTCCTGCGAGCGAGGAGTATGCCCACAGACACAAACCACCAACACTGCTAGCTCGCACACACAATCAGTCACTGAACAAGCCATCACTAACCAAAACCTCGTTACACTTCCTATCACTCCCACAAAAACCAACGGCGCTTGTCAAAATCCAAGATCGATTTGGGAATTCGATGCTAGCACGGGCTTTGCTCGACTCGTGTTCTCAGGACTGTTTAATGACCAAAAGCTTCTCGAACAAACTGAAGTTCCGAGAATGCTTCCCACATCTGTTGGTCCAAGGAATTGGACCATCCCATTCAATATCTACATCAGCAGTTACTGCTCTAGTAGGTCCCAGGTCCAGCCATATATCGCAGGATGCCGAAGAGTTTGTTACTCACTGCCGCCATCGATCCATCGCAATGGAATATCCATCAGTTCCTCGCTGACCCACGCTACTAAGAACCTGGTCCAATCGACTTGATAATCGGAGCTGAGTACTACCTTGACCTGCTTTGCAACGAGCGACAGAAAGCGACGAATGACGGACCTACTATGCAGAACACGGTGTTTGGCTGGATAGCTTCCGGACGAATTCCAGACAATGCGGAATGCAGACGAGTCTCTCTGACCCACGTTTGCTGTTCAGCTGAAAATCAGAATCAGCTTACTAAGTTCTGGAAACCAGAAACGCGCAAAGCGGCTAGCACTCACTCGTTGGAGAAATTATGTTGTGAATCGAACCACCGCAAACAACCTTCAAAGCGAGTCACTCCTTGCTTTCCCGTTCAGCGGGTTGGAGATGACTATGGTGCACCACAAGCGATAGGAGATCAGATTCAACGACGAGGGAATGTTCTTCCGAAACCTCGCCTGGCTGCAGTTCCAGTGTTGGGCGATGGAGTTCTCTTTCGAAGAGTCTTTTGAGCACATCTGGATTTTGTACTTCCGAGCGCAAGACCTTATCCCTTCTGACGTCTTACAAGTCTCACACAACGATAGTTTCAGCTGTCATCTTGGTCGTCGTTCAGCGGGTTCCATCCGAGGGGTGTCCAACTGAGTCTTCTCCTCCATGATGATGACCAAGTCCCCGAGCGCGATCGGCTTCGTCTCCTCAAACCACTTTATTCGACGTGCGATGGAAGGTATTCCCGCATCCACCGGCGCCAGAACTGTTCGTGTATCACATCGTTCGAGCTCATCATGAGAAAATGGTTTGGTGTCAAAGCTTCTTGCTGCACCGTCTCCAAAGTGATGTACGTCAGAGGTCTCGAATTCACCACGCTTTCTGCCTCCACCAGCAGCGCTACCAACGTTTCCTCGTTTGGCGTCCGTGAGGTGTCCATAGCAGCGAGAGCCGTTTTCACCGACCGTACTCATGTGAGGCGCCCGAGGGTGGATTGAACACCCACTTTGTGTTTGCGTTAGTAAACGTCTCGGCGAGCTGGAGGTCAATTTTGTCCATCTCCTGCTTCAGCTCGTTGCTCGATCCCACAAAGTTTTTTCCCCTATCGCTGCGAATCTCAACGGGTGCGCCTCTCGCCCGATGAAGCGCCTGATTGCCATCTTACAGGACTCAGCTGAAAGTGCATGAACAACCTCAAGATGAACAGCTCGAGTGGTCATACACGTGAATAGTGCGCCCACCGCTTAGCGTTACTACGGTTCACTCTCACGGTGATCGATCCAAAATAGTCAACTCCCACGAATAAAAATGGACGCACGTATGCCTGCAGCCTGGCCGCATGAAGTGGAGCCATTCGGGGTATCGCTGGACCTGATATCTCCACCTTGCACACCGTGCACTCCTTAGCCACCCTGCGCACGAATTCTGTCTCAACTCGTTTACGACGGTTTCACCATTAGCATGAAGGTACTTTCTGTGATACCATTCGACTAGCAGACGCGTAACCAGATGCTTCTTCGGCAAAATTACAGGAAACTTCGTGTCGTATGAAGCGAACGTTGCAGCTGCGATCCTGCTGTCTGAACGGATGACTCCAGACTTGTCCAAATACGGTGACAACTTACGATTCGTGCCAATCTTCTCCAGCCGCACCTGTTGGTTTGTCCGCCTGCCCCTAGCTTCCAAAAGCTTCGCCACTTCGTCAGGATACTGCTCGTATTGGATCCAACGGAAGATCGTTGACCCGGCCTGGCTCAGCTCCTGCTGCAAAAGCGGTCCATCCAGCCGCGACTCCTTGATCACCGTCAGCTGTAAATTCTGCGAGCATCGATGAACGTAAGCTACCGCTCGAACTAAACGCATCCATGATGAAAAACACTCCCACTTCACGAGTTGTGCCGCTACTACCTCCCCATGCACCATACACGATCTCAGCTCTTCGTCGGTCGTCTCGTTGGCTGAATGCAAACTCGTCCTCTCCACGAAACCTACAGCTGTTAGGGGACAAACAGGGGCCGTTACCCTATTTCATCCGCAACATTTTTCTTCGTGGATACCCAGCGCCACTGCTCCGCCTTCGATTTAGACAGGATCTCTCCGACTCTACATGCGACGAACTGCCGATAGTTTCGATGGTCCGAGTTTATCCAGGCTAACACCGTCTTCGAGTCGCTCCAAAGGACTACTTTCTCAATCCCCAAAGAATGCCCGTTGAGTATGGTTTTGGCAAAACGTACTCCGATCACTGCGGCCATCAATTCCAGCCGGGGGACAGAATATGCCTTGAGCGGGCCACCTTTGATTTTCCTCCAACCAGCGCTACTTGAATCCCTTCAGGAAACACGGCCCGCAGATATCCAACGCACGCGTAGGCTTCTTCACTCGCGTCAACGTATACGTGCAGCTGCAATGAAATAATGTCCTTGACCGAATGCTGAGGAAAGTAGCAGCGCTGAATGCTAATCTGATTCAGATAGCGAAACAAATCCGTCCACCGTATCCACTTCTCGCGCAGCTGCTGTGGAATCAGTTCATCCCATTCCGTCTTTGCTCTCCACAGATCCTGGATCAGTATCTTGCCATGGATGAGGAAAAAGCTTAGCAGTCCAGCCGGATCACACAGGCTCATGACAACCCTCAGTACGCGAAGACATCTTCATCCGGTTTCCAGTATACTCCGAGCACGCGTTCAGTAGAGGTGTAGTCTGAAGGAGGAGAATCGTTCGCCACTCAAGTGGCCGCGCCAATGTGTAGCCAAAATTCACGCAGGAACAGATGGGAATTTATTTATTTATTTATTTATTTATGTAATGGTTTATGTAATTCACCCCAAAATGACAGTATACTTATTCTAGATAAATTAACATAAAATACTCTTAAAATTGCACTTACTTCTAAAACGGAAACATTGAAGTCAAATACATTGTAGCATCTGTTAAAGATGCGACACATCCTCCGAATGGGCTCATTCTATCCGTAGTTGGTTCGTGAGAAGCGGTTGTTCAGGAAAGTATGCGAACG